AAGGCTGGACTCTAGAGTGATGGATTCAGGATTTGCTTTCAGGTATTTTGATAGCTGTTGGAGTGATTAGAGTTAGTGTCATTTCCCTCTCAAAGGCTTCTAGATAGGGGGAAAAAAACAAATTTATCCATCATTTTAGAACAATAGTGAGTTGTCTCCCTTAGCTACAGGTGGGCACTACAGTATTGGAGACCAAGATTTGAAGTCTTAATCTGAGCAGCACTTTCTGGTTAGGAACAAAATCATCTTTTTATATGGACTTAAGCCTAATGTCTGGGGAGTGTGATCCCTTGAACTCTTAAAGAAATATACTGATGACTTTACTCTTTGGTTATACTTTCCTTTTGGGTGTTTAAGACCATACAGTTGGCCCAAATCAATTTATTTTTACCCTTAAGGCCGTTTGAGGATCTGTTCCTCAGGGGTCACATGGGCTTGAGAGGGCTCCTGGCTCCTTTCTTTTACCAGTTCCATCTATGTGAAGATAAGTCAAAGGTCCTGCTCAACCATGTCTGGCTTCACTTGGAAGCATGAATGAGATTTTTCCTCTGAGTTGGCCCTCCTCTTTGTAGACTGGAGACTGGTTCAAGTCCATCTTGTGCACAAATAATGTCTTAATCTTGAACCAGGGGTCATTTTTTTTTTCTGACAGAAAGTTTTCAACTTGGGCTTTCCACTAGTCAGTGTAAAATTCAGGTGCTACCAAATCACTGGCTTTTCTTCAGCTCCTGTTTCTCATTCTCTTCATTCTCTCACTGCTCCCAAACCTGGTTACTTTTTTTTTTTTTTTTGAGACAGGGTCTCCCTGTAGCCCCGGCTGGCCTGAACTCACAGAGATCCTCCTTCCTCTGCCTCCCAAGTGCTGTGATTAAATGTGTGTGCCACCACACCCAGTCCCCAAACCTGGTTACTTCTTGACACAGCTCAGTGGATGTCGGGGTTCAGCATGGGGCTAATGGACAGTCTATGTTTCCTGAACACAGAGGTGAGCGATGTGTATATTTGCTGGTCCTGAAAATGGGAGGAACCCAGAAGCGCAGTGTAGTCCAGCAGGAGGCAGTGCAGGCCAGCAGGAGGCAGGGCAGGCCAGCAGGAGGCAGACCGAGGGTTCCTGCACTAGGCAGCAACATGTCTTCAAACTGCCCATTTTAAGAAATGATTTTTCTTAAAATCACTTTAAGTTTCATAGTTCATACCATCTTTACCCCCACAAGGTTGAAGCATAATTAGATTTCCTCCCAATATAAAGAACTAAGATAAAAATCTATAGGACCAGTAACTAAGAAATCTGGTAGTTGCCGGGTGTGGTGGTGCACACCTTTAGTCCCAGCACTCGGGAGGCGGAGGCAGGAGGATCTCTGTGAGTTCCAGAACAGCTGGGGCTACAGGGAGACCCTGTCTCAAAAAGACCAAAAAAAAAAAAAAGAAAGAAATGTGGTAGTCAAAATAGTCTTAAGAAAAATGAAATGTTTGAATAAAACAAGATACTGTTTAATTCAACCCTTTTGATAAATAATACATTGATCTTTGATTTTGAACTGCTTATTTTTGAATGATTTTTTTTTAACCAGCTTAGCTGAGCTAGTATATGTGAAGTATACTTAATGCTCTAGAGTTGACTTACCCTGATGCACTTGGCAGTCATCAGGATGCGTTGGCAGTTGAAGCCAAACAAATGAAAAGGTGCCTTTTTCGTGCTGTGCTGTTCCCCAGTGCACTGCAGATCTTTGTAGATTTATTAAGGCCGTTGAAAGGCAACTGATTCTTAAGTCTTGAGTGGGGCTGAGAGTGATTTTTTTGGTGTTGTACTTAGTCCTGGTTCTTGGTGTGCTCTCCCCCCCCCCCCCCCCCCCTGTGGGGTGTGTGTGTGTGTGTGTGTGTGTGTGTGTGTGTGTGTGTGTGAGACAGGCTCTCCTGTAGCCCAGGCCGGCATGAATTTCTGATCCTTCTGTTTCCATTTTCCAATACTAGGATTACAGGTATGCACCATCATACCTGAGTGTCACATGTCGGGCACCCCCCACCCCCCAAGACTCTGTTCTTGATATCATGTCGCTTACTACTGTTAGTTGCCAGCTATTGGCCAAGGCGGTGTTACTGGTGATTTGCACTCACTGAACCCTGAGAACAGCCTTAGGAAATTAGTGTATTTTCCCTGCATAAAGGATGACATGGCAACGGAGAGGTCAAGTTATGTCTAGCAATAGATCACAGCACGGATTTCACCATAGGTAGAGTGTGGGGGAGGCAGGAGGGAGAGAGTGTGGGCAGCAGAGGATGAGCCAATGAGAGAAGCTTTGTTGGAAGGGCTGCCAGAACCAGCAAGGACTTGTGAGTTGTCTACCCAGAGGATGGGAGCCCCAGCTATGGGGCTATGAGTTCCCCAGAATTCAGAGGCTACTCTGGTGGGAAAGAAAGCACAGAGGCATCCAGGTATGATCTGAGGCGGGACTCTGTGGGCAGGTGGAGGAGACTTAAAAACTGCCGTGCACAGTTGCTCTAATGGCAGAGTACGCCAAAGAGGTCTGAAGGAAGCCAGCTGCATCTGCAAATAGGGTAAGACCTAGCTTGGGACAGATTCTAGAACATCTGCATTTCCGTGAGGAACCCAACTTCCTGTGGATACAGGTATGGCAAAGAGGGTGTCTGGAGACATGGAGAACACATACAGGAAGCAGCACAGAGGATCACACAGGAAGAGCAGATCTTGCAGCTGGGGAACTTTACTTTCCTGTGTGTACTGCAGTTATGTTAGTTCACTCCTGGCACATATCGAGAGTACAAGAAGGAAGCCCAGAGTATTCTAAGCACCAGACACTAGTACTTAATGTAAGATCAAAAAGAAATTCCATTACTGAGTTTTCAAGGCTGTCTTGCATGCAGGTTTATGTTGTGCTTGGGAGTTGAGGTAATGCATTTGAGCCCTGTTGGACACAGAGGTAGATCTCATGGTCCATTGTAAGTTCTGCTGTTCTGTTAAAAATCATTTGATTACATCTTGAAGTTGCTGACACTACCCAGAGAACCAAAAGGAATGCCTTGGGTGATTGTTAGTGTTTGGGATCTGCAATTTACCCCAGGACAGTTAAGGAGCTCAAACTTTGTACTGATTGGCTCTTACCCCAATGTCTTCAGCATTCTCTATTTTGGCCAAGGGCAGGGTCCACCAGAGTCTGTGGTCTCAAAACATTTGCCTGAGGGGAATAACTCAGGTTGCAGTTTCTAGATTCCTCAGGCAGATTGAGGTAGGAGCTGGAGTTTATGGGGGGCTTGCTGCTGTGGAACACACAACTCAGAACTTGCAGGGCCACTGCTCACCTCACTCTGAAGTTGTTTCATATCAAGCCATACACATACCCACATGGAGCTAAAATTTCTATGTGATTTTCCAGATAAGATAAAAACTGACTTATTAGCCAGTTTATGTGGCTAATAAATAGCAAAACCAAACCTGGACACTTTCTATAACAATATGATGATGCCTGCATGTTTTCCCCAAATTTTCCATAGAAAGATTTACCATCTTACCTGTTTTGGGGTTTTTTTTTTTTTTTTTTTTTTTTTTTTTTTTTTTTTTTTTGAGACAGAGTCTCCCTGTAGCCCCAGCTGTCCTGGAACTCACAATGTAGACCAGGCCAGCCTTGAACTCACAGAGCTCCACCTGCCTCTGCCTCCCAAGTGCTGTGACTAAAGGCATGCACCACCACTCCCGGTCCATCTTACCTATTTGTAAATGGCACCTCCATACACTGTTCTTTTATGGGTGGGGTGGGGAGTGTGCTTTTGTGTGTGGAGGCCCGAAGTCACTTTAGGATCTTCCTCTATTGCTCTACACATTTTTTTAGACAGAGTCCCACACTGCAGCTTGCTGTTGGGGATCTGCCTTTCTGTACTTTCAGTGCTGGAGTTACAGGTGTGCACCACCATGCCTGGCTTTTTACATAGGTGTTTGTACAACAAGCACTTTATCCACTGAGCTGTCTCTCCAGCTTGATAACCTTATTCTTCTAAAACTGAAACTGTGCCTATTAAGCACTGTGTACCTATCCCTCCCTCTACCCTTCAGTCTGTGAGTTTGGCTACTCTGGGTGCTTCATTTTAGTTTGACTACACAGTGATTTGTTTTTTGTGACTTGCTTATTTCACTTAAACAGGTTCATCATGGTGGAGTGTATATCTGAATTCCCTTTATTAAGGCTGAATGATATTCTATTGCATCTTATTTATTGAGGGCTTATGATGACAAGACATTAAAATGAATGAGTTATGGTCACAGTCCTCCAAGAACTCCAGGTCTTTACCTATTTTTTCATAGTTTATAAATTAGCTTCAGAAGATTGAATACAGGGGCTGGAGAGGTGGCCCAGCAGTTACGAGCACTTGCTGCTCTTCCAGAGGTCCTGGGTTCATTCCTAGCACCCACATCAAGTGGCTTACAACTGCCTATAACTCCATCTCCAGGAGATCCAACTCCCTCTTCTGGCCTCTGTGGGACACACACACACACACACACACACACACACAAATAAATAAATAAATAAAT